AATTAGATATTTTAAAATATATATTAAGCTTGCAGAGCAGTATTTATTTAGTCATTTAAAGTGTACAACAGCTGAAGATGCTGAATGCTCTTTAAAGGTCTGATCCCACTTCCAGTACAGTCAGTGGCACAATTTCCCATCGTCTTCAACAGAATCGGGAGTAGGCCAAAGCCAAAATTCCACTGGTCACTGTAAATGTTTGAGGGGAAGCGAAGGTTGCCTCGTGGACATATTCCTTCCTCCTTGGTCCACCCACATGTGCAGAGAGAAATGAGGTCACCCCAAAACAAGCAGCAAATGGATGCCAAAAGAAAATCCATGTGAAGGATACATACTAAAGAAAATAAATATATAACAATATAGGTAGCAATAACACAGCTAGAATATTGGTTGTCAAAGAGGCTTTTTAAATGGCCTTTAGGCAGATAGCTATCCCGACCCACACTATCCCGTGACACACATAATACCACCTTTCATCCAAGGAACTCCCAGTGTTCCCAAACATTCATTAATCCCCCAACTCCACTGAGAGAAGGTGACAACTATTCTGTGCATCTTACAGATAGGTAAACTGAGCCAAAGAGCTCTTCCCTGTCCTTTCCCAAAGTCAGTCAGGGGCAGAGTTGAAAACAGAACCCAGGAGTCCCAACACCCAGAGCCTTGGTCTAACTATGGGGACACTGCCTCCAACATCAGGACACACTTAAGGGAGATGCAGGTTAGGCTCACGACGGATGCATACTTTATGGAGATATTTTTGACAATTAAAATCCTAGGTACTTGATCCCTATCACCTGTATTGTGTATCGTCCTGCCCTTTTGCACCATACAGACTTATTATTCTAATAGGTCCTCTGCATCTCATCAGGGACCCGATCATCCAGCCTGTCCCCCCTTTATATCCTGCCCCTCAGCCTTCTGCCTGGGCACTAGATGGCCCTTGTTTCAATGCTGTTCCTTTGCAGAACACCATGCGAGACACTTCTTTGCAGCACGTCGGCCCATGGACTCAAACCTGCAATCTGACCTTGCAACGTGCCGAGCACCCTTAGCTCCCACTAAAGTCAATGGGAGCAGAGGGCACGCTGCCCCTCTCAAGAAGTGCTGCACTGCTTCCAGAATCAAGCTCTTAATCTCTAAAGCAGAGCAGAGCACAAACCACTAGGCACCAGGCTCACCCCTGAGACTGGCCACAGAGGCGAAGCAAGCAGCCATTTGAGGTCCTAGTCCTTGTAGAAATGACATTGGAGCAGAGTTATTAAGTCCATCTCCTTGCCAGTGCAGGAAGGTTCCCTAGGCTCCGCTCTCCAGTGCTCCGCACAGTCTAGTTTTCAACATCCCAAACAATGGTGCACCCGCCACTTCCCTTAGAGACCACTCCATGATCTAACAGGGAACCCACAATCCCATGCTAATTCTGGAGCTCCATGGACCACCTCCATCTCCCTCTTTCGCAGCAGGAAACAACTCACCAGCAAGCCCACTTTTCTTCCCCGACACAAGGCAAGCAGGGAGAAGACAAATCACAGCCTGATTGCCCAATACACGCACCTGCAGCAGCTGGGGGCATCACAAATCAAAAGATCAGTCCTACCTGGCATGTCACCTTCGACACTAACCTCCCAGTATTGTACTGGCACACAGGAGAGCAGAAGTCAATGGGTCGTCAAAATGTTAGTGCAATGAAGTTGCTGTTCAATTCTGCTACTTAACCACCTTTATGACAGTTACTATGTCCCAGCTTCTTTATTTTGCAACCTGTCATACAGCTCTGATGAGACAACAGCACTGACAACCTGCAGATTCTTTTAGCCAAGAGGCCTTCTTCAGACTGTTGAAAATACAGAAATAAGTGCATTAGGGCCAAGAAGGCAACATAGTCAGAATGGCAGCTTTTATCTGGCTACCTACAGCAGCCTACACGCTTTCCTTTAACCCTCTGAGCCAGATCCAGGAAGGAGTAGAGTACTCTTGGCTCTCAGCAAAATCACTTGGGGTTGCTTAGAACCTTGCAGGATTGTGCCTTTTTTGATGGACTAAAGCATGCAACCTACTTGCTGATGTGGTACCATCTGACTCCAAATGACAACCCCATGGAATTTACCAGTACTCTTCATGGTATGTGCTTTTTTATTTTGTGACAGTTATTTCACTAAATGTTATATGTTCGTGTTGGTCCATATACATACATAAATTAAATACAGGTCTCCTGATATTTATGTTCTTAGCCCATTCTTCTCAACGGCAATATATATGTGAGGTTCCTTCTCTCTCTCCCAGCAATCGCAATTGTAAACTTCTCTTTGTGATAATAGCTAAAGAGCAGACAGAGCCTGTTTTAACAATCTATGATCAATCCTCTTCAATGGCAAAGGATTTGCCCCAGAAAAGCCTACTTTAAAAAAAAACTATTAAATGTTCATTATAGAGCTAAGTATAACTAGCATGTCACATAGCCTTTAATGGGGAAAAGGTCTATTAACCTGATGAGTGAGTACGTATATAGGGAATCTGAATCATCTTGAGATATGCACTGCGTATATTTATAATCCATTGGCCAAATTGGAACCTGTCCTAAGGAGAAATTTGTTGTTCATTTTCCACTGCACCACAGGGTTCTCACCACTTCCTGGGCCATGGTGTGGTGTCTGAGAATTAAAGCCAAACTAATGGCCAAGCTCGCATCCTAAACCTGGTCAAAATCATTCAATGCAAACAAAAATAATCAAAGATCATCAAAACATGAAATTTTAAAACCGTATGCCAGCTTTTCCAGATTACAATAATGAAATTCCAGGCCAAAAAGTAGTAATAAATAAACCAACACTTTCCTGTTGAACTAATTTGACATCTCTATTTGAAAATAACCTGATGAAGTCTAAGATATACAGTACAGAACAAATACAATATGTTACTTTAAGAAAAACTAAATATGGTGGAAGAAAAAACTTCAGAAAATTAGAACACCATTTTGACAGATGCAAAACTTTTCAATGGTTATTGCACATCCCTGCTAGCCAGTCTATTCCAAACACATACACATGTCAATAAAATATTGGTCTCTGCATTTGTAAACATGTTATCTGCTATAGGAAAGCAGTGCATCGGATGCAATTGAGTGGCTACAGAGTTGATGGGGCCAGAGCTTCATGCTATTACAAGGTCTTTCATTCAGTAGATTGGCTGCAGTTATCAACGAAAAGCCAGAACAAAAAGAAACGTTAAATGTGAAAAACATAAGACACTGACAACAAATACTTTAGTGAGCTATAATGCGACTGAAGCACTAACAAAAAGAACAGCGAGATCCAATTTCAAAATAGACTCTGAATTAAATCGCAAATTGTACCAAAGCAGCTCGTGTTTATTTGACTTTCTGATACCAAGGAACGTGTTACGCAGCTGCACCGTTGCACCGTTCCACCAGCACCCTGGATGCTATCTCCCTAATCACCTGCATGCTTGTACTGCAACCAGCCTAGAGGTGACGGATGCAGTCAATACGGGTTGCCATTGAGGTGTTAGTGCACAACTGACAACGTCCAGCAGGAGTAAGTTACCAGGGTAGGTCATCGTCACAAACAACTGAAAGAAATTCTGTTCCAGGCAGCATTCGCACTCTTCAAGGAAATCAAAGATCAACGACACAAATGGGGTTCACCTCACAAGGGCTGGCTTGTGTTCCCTCAAGAAGCAACCTCTCTAAGCTGCTTTGGAAAAGCAGGACAGCCCACAGGAACAGAAACGATCCACATATAGATAAACAGCCACCAAGAAAGTCAGCCTACAACCCCCGAGTTACATTTCTGTGGCTGTGGACGTGGGGCAGCGAGGAAGGCGTTGTTTACATGAGTTGCGTGCCTGCCTTACACTAGGAGAAGCAGCGTTCAACATGCAGATCAGGAGTTTTTAAAACAGATCAAGTCATATTCAACAAATCAAATTCAATGCCCCCACACCTGCTCCCCTCCAGTCTCCCGTCCCCAAATCAAGCCTGCCAGTATTTCCCAGTCACTAAGGGGAGAGACAAACGGTCTCCAGGTGCAGGTACCTGTTCCTGACCCAGAACTCCACAGACACAACGAACACATGACAAACACTAAACTTTCTTTTTTCTACGTGTAACCCCAGGGCGATGCTGGGATGGCAGGTCTCCAGCAGCACATGCCAGCCACCAAACGCAGTTCCCAAACGGTTTGGTGGCGCGCTAGGCAGAGGGAGTCTGCTGGCCAACAATCCCCATCTGCCTGGCCCCCAGCAGCCTCCAAACACCCCACACACCCAGACTCACCCCCCTAATCCCCGCAACAGCAGCTCCTGGGCCGGAGAGGAGAGGAAGGCAGCCCCAGGCAACTCACCGCAGTCTGCGCACAGGATCCTGCCCACATCCTTCTTGAGGTTCTTGCCGCTGGTGTCCAGGGGGGCGAAGGATGTCCTGAAGACCAGGGGCTGCTCGGTGGGCTCCAGGAAGAAGATGTAGCGGTGGTTCCTCTTCACTTTGAAGCAGGGCGCCGGGGAGCCCGCACTGCCCACGCTGATCAGCTGCTCGCGCTGCAGCCCCCCGCTGTTGCGGGGCCACAGGTCCAAGACTTTCACCAGGACTACCCCAGCGGAGGCAGGGGGCTCGCGGGTGCCATTGCCGCTGCCGGGCGGGGGGGGCAGCGCCTGCACCTTGCCCTCCACCACCACGGCCGCAGTGTACGCCTGGTCCTGCACCGATTTGAGGCTGGGGGAGTAGCAGGCGAGAGACACCCCGAAGAGCAGCATGGAGAAGCCGGGGGTCGGATCGCGCCTCATGCCGGCGGCTGCTGCGGCGGCTGCTGTCCGGGCTGCAGGGCTGCGGCTGCTCGGGAGGCGCAGCGGGGCGGGCGCTGCTGCTGCTGGCGCACGGAGCCTCCTCCAGTCGCGGCGCTGAGCAGCAGACCTGCCGCATCTGGCCAGGCCATTTGGGGGGCTGCCGCTTCGCCGCCGCTTCGGGAGGGGAAACAGAGGCGCTGGAGGACCGGAAACAGCGTAATCTCAGCGCCCGCTGGCCGGCACCTCCCCGGGCGGCGCAGCAGCCTCCCCAGGCACCAGGGCACGGAGCTGCGCGGCGCACCGACCCTGGGCGCCCTGCCCCCGTGCACCGGCGGATGGAGCCAGGGAAGGCAGGGGGCTGCCCGCCCGCGCCGGGCAGGGGACCCGAGTGAGCTCCCGGGCCCCGAGGGGATGCCCCGGCCTCTGCAGAGCGCACCAGACTTGTGCTGACCCGCTGCGCCGGGAGCGCCCTGAAATCCCCAGCAGGGTCTGGCCCAGCTACCCCGCGCGGCCCCTGCCTGAGTCCTGCCTGGGCCAGGCAGTCCCAGCGGCTGGGCAGGTGAGTCCCCGTGGAGCAGGTGACTTCCCCGATCCCCGGGGATTTTGTCCCTGAAGGGATCCCGGGGAACCCTGAGCGTGGCTCCCCGTGCAGGGGATCTCCGGGACTCCCTGCCCCCCGGGAGAGCCGGTGTCAGTGCTCCCCGGAACCTCTCCGCCCGGAGCCCGCTCCCTTGGGGGAGGGTGTCGGGGACTCCCTGCCCCCTCGGGGATGCAGCCCTCTGCAGGGCAGGGCGGGGACGCCCGGTGCAAGGGACCCCCCCCCCCCCATGCGGGTGGGGGCTGCAAGGAGAGTCGCGAGGCAACCCGCGGTCTCCCGAGCAGATGCTCAGCTCAGGGCTTCCCTTGGCGGCCCCTCCAGAAGGTGCCACATTGATGCGCGCTCAGTCACCTACCTCTATGCCATGCCTCGAGCCCGAGCGTCTCCGGGAGCTGCCCCGCGAGCGGCAGAGAGCCCCGGGCAGCCGGACCGCCGATGTCTCGCCCCTCAGCCTGCACCAAGGACACGAGGAGCAGGTGGCTGCAGCAGGCGGAGGTGGGGGGAACCTACCAGTAAGTCACTGGGTTTACATTTGTGTTGCCAGAGGGCCTGGCTGACTCCCCAGCATTGCCCTGTTTTATTGGTGCGACTGGCAGCCTGCAATTGCAAGAGGGGTGGGCTGGAAACGGGGGCAGAGCCGATCTCGCCTAGCGTGGGGAGGGTGGCCGGGAGGGGGGTCCCCAGGATGGGAGGAGGGAGGGAGAACTAGATAGCTGATTTCTGCAGCCCTTGGCATTCCGATCACATCCTCTCAAGACCTGCCCATCTCCACACTGCATTACAGCTCCGGTCAAAACACGAGCATTTCCTTCGTCAACCCGACAGTCAGCTAAACCACATTCGGGACAGGAGGAAGCGCCGCTTAACCGGTTGCAACGGAATATTATCTGCTGCCAGGGGCACCAGCCCTGCAGATTTCACAACTCCAAACTGGCAACAGGGTTGGGCCGCCCTGCCCTACACATCTACTTTCCTGTCTCAGGATTACTTTGGAGCTGGAATTTTATGCATGACACCCTAGTCAAATGCAGTTTAAGAAAAAGAAACTAACTGGCAAAAGGAAAGATAGCAGCTGAAGAGAAAATGGCTTCTTTCATGGAGTGATCCCTGCTGTCTCTCTTTAATAGACAAACAAGATAATAACAAGACTTTCCCACTGCAGTGGGTTTTCAGGAGAAGGCAATTTAAGTTCAGAAAAGTTGTTTATTTTTAAAGATGGTGCTCCCCTGTCTGTGTTCCTTATAATCCCATAGGAAATCATTGCTGAAGCTGCCAGCCACAGCAGTTTAAGAAGAGTAATTAATAGCAGAGGATTTTCAAAAAGGCAAATTCTGCCTCTGGAATCCACAGCCCGTGGGTTCCCATTGTTGTGGTAATTGACACAAGGGGGTGAGATAATCGCATACATTGTGATCCCTGCCTGCTTTGCTGCCATCTGCCATTGACTTCAGTTGGAGTGGGATCAGACCCAAATATGTGCATTGTTATTATTATGGCAGTAGTGTTCTTGGCAGCGATACAACACACAGATAAAGGCAGGGGCCCTTCCCCACCAAGCTTACACTCTAAAAGAAAAGCCAGGCAAGCATTCACTGGGAGACTCCAAAGATGGTTAGAGCCAATAATGATTTTTTAAATAAATTGGGGTGATAGATAATGATGGTGTAATATGTACCTTTGGATCCTTGGGCCCCTCCATGTTTATGATTGTGAAATCTATAGCTCAAAAAAAAAAAAAAAGGTGGAATCATCCAGAATGGGTGGAATTAATAAATGTTTGAATTCCTTGTATTCTACCATCTTTCCCATGCAGAGCTGAATTCAGTGTTATGCATGTACATTTTTCCCAGAAGTTACCACTGACTGTTGATAGTGCATGAGTCCATTCAGATCTTCAGCCCGTAGGAAGCCATCGATTTTATTTAAATACATACTCCCACTACCAAGGATGCTTAGATCATGTCCTCTGGGTAATTCTTTAACTTCAAACAATGTATTGTGTTATCAGGCACATTTATCACATTTAGAGTCTCAGAAACACTTTTCATTGTTAGAACCTTTGCTAAACATATTTCTCTTTGGCTTTCTGTTTTTTTCCCCCCAATTCAGATTATCCTGAGTAGTTTCTAGGTCCAGAGAAACCTGCAGTAAAGCCCCAGTTCAGCAAGATACTTAAGCACCTGCATAGTTTTAAGCAGGACTACTCTCATTAAAAGCAAGTTAAACAGGTGCTTTAATACCTTGCTGAATTAGAGCCTAAGACTCACTTCCAAGAGGCAACCCACTGACGTTTTTTTTCCATTTCTAATTGTTCATGGTGAATTAAGGCTGGAATTACACCATCTTTAGCCATACTTAAGGCCAAGACAGTTGATTTGTTCTGTCTTTGTTCAGCACCTAACACAACTGGTTCCTCGTCTGTGAGTGGGGTCCTCGTTGCTACTACAAGTAACAAAAAATAATTCTAATAACATGTTCAATGGCACCATTGGTTAGGCACCTTATTCCCTTGGGTGTCTTTGACAACCCCAGCCTTTGTGCTACCAGATGCCAATCCTGGAGACTGAAGCCCTCTTTTTACTCAGAGAACAGATACCATGTGGGCAGTGGTGATGAAAGCAGCCCTTCTCAAATGCCCTGCAGGACCATGGCTAAAGGTGATGGGGCGGTTCATGCTCCATGCCCATTCTAATCTTTAGCCTCTCTGCATTGAGACTGCCAATAAAGGTGCCAGTGAATGCCAGCTATGTTGGTGATTCATGCAGTGCGGACATCTGTCCTCTAAGCACTCCTCTAAGACTTGCCAGCTTGTCTCACATAGGTCAAGAAGCAGCAATAACACTCAGTTGCTACTAACTTGGGCTGGATTTGATCTGGTGACCTAGCCCAGTGGCTCTCGATTTTTTTCCATAGCAGAACCACCCTGGGACTCCCCCTCCCATCTAGGTGGTGGTCATCCCTGCAAGCTAGTAATATAGGCAAGGCAGGGTGGTCTTGACCCTCTGACACTTGTTTGTGACCTCCCTGAGGGTCCTGTTTCCTACGCTGAGAACCTCTGACCATTGTCAGTCCTCTGAGCAATGCAGTTTCCCCCCGTCCTCCACCTTAGGCAACCACTTTAAAGAATCTCTAAAGTTTGTAATACATCTGAGTCCAACATTTAGTCCAAGACCACTTCTCCTAGACCAATGATTTTTGCTGTGTGCTTGCTCAAGGTGGGTTTCATTATATCCTAGGGTTAAGATCTTAGTCTAAGAATAACTGGCATGATTTGCGGATGCTTTTAGCAGGCACCAAAATAGTATTTAAAAAAAATAATTGCAAACCAAACAGCAGACACAGGATGATTGGCTAAAAGAGCAACACAGCTGCTTAGTGGAAGGAAAAGTACAATAATAAAAGCCTGGAAAACACAGTTATGGTATCTACTACCTGTTCAATTCCCAAAACGCTCAATACAATCTCTGCAACTACAGGGATATATGGGTGAAATTCCTGTGGCGAGGGAAGGAAAGTCATAACGATATACTCAGCAAACCACAGAGAAATATAGGAAGGAGGGGAAATACTTTCCTTGGCAAGGAAGCTGCCAACTGTTTGGAGTCAATGGTAGTTAGGTGCCTAAATATCTTTGAGGATCTGGGCTGTAGATTTCTCCTGCAAGAGAAATGGGAAGGGCTGCCCCTCTCCTAGCTGTGCCTAACCAGAGAAGTGGCTTGAGTGGACTAAAATTCAGGTGTCTAATTCCTTCACTCTCTAGTGCTGCAGGTTCAAACTCTGAGTAGGAGCAGCTCAGATCTTCAACCATTTCTTCTGAAGGAGATGAATTCACCTGTGGGGTCCTTTAGCTGAGACTTTAAAAAGTGACCTCTTTGCTCTTTAGGGGCATCAAAGACTCAAGTAGAGGATTGCCCACATGTCCTTTTATCAATATTCCTCTCCCAACTCTCCTTATTGTTTTATAGATGGCTGCTCTCCACTCCAGAGATGGTTGCATTTCCATGGGACCATTCTAGTTTGAGAAGTGCTTTAGAGTAAAAAAAAAAAAAAAAGTGCTGGATAAGTGTGAATTCATTATTTGTGGCTGCCAGGCCATATTTTATATTGAAAATGGGTTAGATGTGGCATTAAGCCTTGACAGCGAGACAATCCCAACTCAGACATTAATGAGATGGAACCTATAAGGGATAATATTTTTCCTTTGTTTACTGGATAATTTGTCCTCCTTTCCCTAACTATTCTGACACGCTCCATAATTCACTGTTTCCAAGTCTATCATAGCTTTATGTGCCTTTGATGCAAAGGGGCTGGGCAGAGAAAGTCCACTGCATATATACCTTGGGCCATCCGTCTCTTTTAGAACCTGTTTGTGTGCCACCTTCTTGCTTTCTCAATACAGGCAATCCCTTCTGGTCTGCCCTGAACTAAGCAAGGTGGAATCTCCTCCTTTGTAACCTTTCTCCTCAAATAAACATGTTTCCTCTGATATCTGACCCTGGGTCTGTTGTTTCTCTTTCCCTCCTGCCCCAACAGGTTTGTGTCTTTATTTCTTTATTAGTGTCATTTTTTATTGTGCCATTCTTTATTAGTCAATATCCTTTCTCCTTCTCTTCTGATATCAGACATGGCCTGAATCACAGGGCGTGCTAGAGTTCTTTTCTCTTTTTTATGTTTCTTGTACTTACAGATTAAAATGCCCCTTCAAAATAGGTCTGGTCCTGCTATGTGGAAAGCCTTAGGCATCTGCTGGTCCTGGCCTGGCCCTGCTAGATAATGAGAACAATGGGGAGGGGGTCACCAAGCAAATTATGGGTCCAGCAATACATTAAGTGTTTGTGTGACTGATAGCTGGCAGGAGTGGACAGTTGCTGGTTTGCCCAGAGCAGCAGAACCCTCAGATCTGGCTTTGTTCTGCCCAAGCCCGTAGTAGGAAGTTACACAGAGATTCTTCTAACTTTGCCACTCCCACATAGGTCGTGATTCCCCAAGTCTTTCCCTATGTTGCTAGGAGGAAGGATCATGGATTGCCTTCTCTGGGGATGATTAAATTACTTCTCGGTGTGGCTGCCTGTAGGTGCTAGACCTAAAGAATACTAGAGAGTCTATGTCCTCTACAAAACAGCAAGAGAGGGGTCTAATTCTGGTTGCAGTAAGAGGGTAGCAGAGCCCGCAGTGAGAGCTGGCACAAGGGGCTAGTAAATTGCCCCATGGAACTCATAGCCCCGCCGTTAGCCAGGGCTGTGTTTGCAAACTGGAGCAGCCCCAAGGCTGTAACCCAGTGCAAGCCAGCAGATAGCCTATTTGGACAGGTGGCATTCATAGAGCAGGAATGCTGCTAATGAGCATAACTGGCAGCCTTCTGCTGGCTCATTTGCAAGGGATGGGGTGAATATAAACTGGCAGCAAGAAAGGAAAGCAAGAGAATAGTAGGTAGCTTTATTCTTGAGACTGTAAGAGACAGGGGGCTAGTCTACACTACGTCGTTAGATCGGCATTCCCCGCATTAGGTGAATTTATAATGTGCTTGTCTACACTACAGAGCCCTTCCTGCCAACCTAAAGGGCTTTTAAAATCGATGCCCGTACTCTACCTAAATGAGAGGAGTAGCACTAGATTCGACCTTCCCAGGTTGAATTAGGGATAGTGTGGACACAGCACAGTGTATTTCGACTTGTTTGGCCTCCAGGAGGTGTCCCAGAGTGCTCCAATGTGTCCGCTCTGGATAGCGCTTTCAACTCCACTGCACTTCAGCCAGGTAAACAGGAAAAGCCCTGGGAACTTTTGAATTTCATTTCCTGTTTGATCAGTTGGAGAGCTCACCACCACAGCTGACCATGACTGCCCAGGTACACAAATGCGCTCCAGTGTGGAGCATACAGGAGACACTGGATCTGATTGCTGTGTGGGGAGAAGAGTCTGTGCAGGCAGAGCTCCGATCCAGCAGAAGAAATGCTGACATCTATGCCAAAATCACACAGGGCATGGGGGGGAAAGGCTACAGCAGTGCCGTGTGAAAATAAAGATGCTCAGGAAAGTGTGCCAGAAGACAAGGGAGGCAAATAGTCACTCTGCTGTTGAGCCAAGGACATGCCATTTCTATGAGCAGCTGCATGCGATTCTAGCTGGGGACCCCACCAGTATCCCAACACTCTCCGTGGATACCTCCCAGGGGACCCAGGTGGCCATGGGCAACAACGAGGAGGACATTGGTTGAGGAGGAGGAGGAGAAGGAGAATGCGCAGCAGGCAAGCAGAGGATCCATTCTCCCGGACAGCCAGGACCTTTTCCTAACTCTGGAGCCGATCCCCTCCCAGGACCCACTCGTGCAGGACTGTGATGGTGGGGAAGGCACCTGGTGAGTGCACTCTTGTAATAACACTACAGGGGTTAAATGCAATTGTGGTTAATGTTTAATTTGAGGTAAACAATTGGGATACAGTGGTGGCAAGTGCAGCCACACAAAAGGTGCTCCCTGGAAAAGCCTGTTTATGTGCCAAGAGTTTCCACACTACAAAATTTCCCCAGGTGTGCCCTCACATCGCCTACCCTTTTGTGTGTGCTTACCATGCCTGTCTGCAAACTGAAATCTGCTGCCCAGCACTCTGCCATGTATTGTACCTTACTGGCAGGCTCTTCTTTTAAAACACAAAATTTGGCCAAGTACCTCAGGGAATGTATTTACTGCTGTGAATTGTTTCCTTCATTGCGACAGTTAACCTTTTGTTTTCAACAATGTATGCTTTTCCTTGCAGCTGCAACATTTTCTCTGGTGCTTCCTCTGCTCCAGCACAAAGGCTATCCCAGATTAGAAGGCCAAAAAAGTGGACAAGGGAAGACATGTTCTATGACTTGATGCATTCCTCTGAGGCTGACAGGGCCCCGCTGCATGCATGGAGGCTCACACGCTGAGAAAGCATGCATATCAACCAAGAGGGCAGGAAAGCAAGCAGGGAACAAGAGTGTAACATTCAAGAGGAGATGTTGCTGCTTATGGGGGAGCAAACAGACATGTTGAGGCATCTGGTTGAGGTGCAGGAAAGGCAGCTAGACCTTTGGGTGCAGTGGGACTCTATGATGAACCAGCTGCCCTCCTCACTAAGTTCCATATCCTCCTCTCCCAGACATCCTAGAATGCGGGGAGGGGAAGGGGAGAAGCTCCGTTATCCCTTGAACTCAACTCCAGGGGATGGTTCATGGAGCAGAAAGCTCTCATTCCTATAGCTTTGATTGCTAGACAGTGCAATTGTAATAAACTATGTGTCCTTGCCTTCCCTCCCTGTGTTATCAGGCCCTTACCTGGTTATCATTGCTATTCATTGATGTCTCTGTTCAGTGTTTGTTAGCATAATAAAAATGCACCAATTGAGTACAAGAGGCTCTTTATTCACTGTGCACACTGTGGTTGGTGGGGGTTTAGTTTACAGGGCCGTACATGCGAAGGAGGAGACAGGTTGGTAAGGAACAACACACAGAACTGTCACATCAGTGTTGGATCATTCATGAAACTGGTTTTCAAAGCTCTCGGAGACTCAGTGCGCCTCAATGTGCTCTTCTTATGCCTTGGTGTCTGGCTGCTCATAATTGGCAGCCAGGCGATCTGCCTCAACCCCCCCACCCTGCCAGAAACGTTTCCCCCTTACTTTCACAGATACTATGTAGAACACAGCAAGCAGCAACAATAGGAATATTGCTTTCGCTGATGTCTAACCTAGTGAGTAAACTGCGCCAGTGCCCCTTTAGACGTCCAAAGGCACATTCTACCGCCATTCTGCACTTGCTCAGCCTATGGTTGAACTGCTCCTTACTGCTGTCCAGGGTGCCTGTGTATGGCTTCATGAGCCATGGGAGCAAGGGGTAGGCTGGGTCTCCAAGGATAACTATTGGCATTTCAACATCACCAACAGTAATTTTCTGGTCTGGGAAGAAAGTTCCTTCTTGCAGCTTTCTGAAGAGACCAGAGTTCCTAGAGATGTGCGCATCATGTACCTCTCCTGACCATCGTTGATGTTGGTGAAATGGCCCCTGTGATCCACTAGCACTTGCAACACCATTGAGAAGTACCCCTTTCAGTTTATGTACTCTTTGGCAAGGTGGTCTGGTGCCACAGTTAGGGAACCCCATTGCGGCAAAGCTATCCTCTATGTCCTGCACGTTTCCCAGAGTCACTACCCTTCTTAGCAGAAGTGAATTGATTGCCCTGGTAACTTGGATCACAGCAGCCGCCAAGGTAGATTTACCCACTCCGAAACGATTCCCGACTGACCGGTAGCAATCTGGCGTTGCAAGATTCCACAGGGCTATCGCCACTCTCTTCTCCACTGTCAGAGAAGGTCTCATTTTGGTATTTCTGCGCTTCAGGGCTGGGAAAAGCAATTCGCAAAGTTCCATGAAAGTGGCCTTATGCATTCAAAAGTTCTGCAGCCACTGCTCCTCATCCCATACCTGCATCATGATGTGGTCCCACCAGTCTGTGCTTGTTTCCCTGGCCCAGAAGCAGTGTTCCACTATGTCAACAAGCCTGGCTGCCACTGCCAGTATGTGCGAATTGCTCCATTCCATAGCTTTCAGCACAGCTATCTGCAAGGCATCACATTCTTCCACGCGGCTGCCCCTGGCTAGGCTCTGCAAATATTGAAGGATGATGCGTGAGCTGTTTGTGATGCTCACAACAACAGCATACAACTGAGCGGGGTCCATGCTTGCTGTGCTATGGTGTCTGCATGAGTAACCCAGGCTTAGGCGCAAAAATGATTGCTTTGCTTTCAGGGAGGGAGGAGCCAAGTGCATCATAAAAGGTTGACATTATGTACCCAAAACACCTCACATAAATGTTTTTGTCCTATCAGGCATTGGGAGCCTAACCTAGAATTCCAATCGGCAGCAGAAACTGTGGGATAGCTGCCCACAATGCATTGCTCCATGAGTCGATGCTACCTATCCATGGTAGTGGGGATGTGCTCTGCCGAAGAAATGTGCATAGTGGGGACATACACCATCGATTTTGTAAAATCGGAGGCTACAGGTTGACTTTAATAAATTCAACCTAATTGTGTAGACAAACCCAGGGAAACAATGTGATTTAGTGGGTGGAACTGTGGACTGAGAATCAGGAGTTGTGGGGCTCAGCTCTGCCACTGATGTGCAGAGCGACCTTGGGCAAGTCTCTTATCCACATTTTCCAGATGGGGAGAATGAGGTTAACAACATTTGTAAAGCATTTGAAACCCCCCAAGGAAAAGCTGCAGAGCATTGCTACTACTTTTCTGTGTGGACTAAACCCTGCAGTACAGATTCCTTACTACACCAACCAGCTGCACATCATGCTGGCCAGAAATAAAACTAATAATTGACAGCATTACTGTCCTCTGTCTTTTGACACTCAGTTTGATTTCCAGCTTAGTATTTTGCCAACTTCCTTCAAATACTTAAGAAAGGAGCACTCTAGACTGTTTCTTTGTACATACCATTGGCTCAATGCATCTAGCTTTTTAAA